GAAGAACAGAAAAAAATGCTACATGGAGGCCTCGTCAAAAAAAGAAAAAAAAAAGGAGGAAAAAAAAGAACAAAGAACACACACACATAGTAATAAATAATAATTTTTTACTCTGTTGAATACAATAGATAACCTCAGAGTCCAGTAGGACGTTTCACCGTTACTTTTCGACTCATAAATTTCACAGATGTGTCCTGCTTTCATTTGGGATGTTTTTTCTGACAACTCGCCTCTCTCCTGAGCCTTGCACAATGTATTGATTGTAGCATCTTTTACGAAATGGTAGGAAGCGCTTCCTAAATCTCCACTCATACTGGGATCATGAGTAGAGGGAGAACCACGTGGTAACGAGAAGAAATGATTTATTTTTTGTTCTCGGCCAAGATGTAGCGAGCGGTTCTGGTCAGACCCAGCAATAACCAAATGCTGATTTGTCTTTGAGCGTATACATGTATATGGCGTTGCCAATAACCAAATCCTGTTAGCTCACCTGCTATAGTTAAGTAATGTAATTCAGCATTTATAATCGATCCTGCACCTTACATTTAACTCCAGTGATATTTAAAGTGTACTCCTAACCGTCTTCGTTTTTATTATTGTGAATAGTGTGTAATTCGTGGCACGTTACGTCATTTCTTTTAATTTTTTTCTAAGGACTTAAGGAGAAGTCGGCCGTGCAATGCAGCGTGTGGCGTTCGTGATGGTGTGTGTGCGTGTTTGAGATGCGAGGCAGAGACTTGAGATAACAATCGTCAGATCAACGTTTAGCTAATCAAGATGCGAGCTTTCCCGAGTCAGGAGATGGAGTAATTTGTCGACTCTAATCTTTTTTTTGTTTTTTGCTGTTTTTTGGCTTACATTAAGCAGGCGTGCATCGTCTCCTGCGAGATCTGGCTATGAGATGTTATGGCACTTTTCTGTGACTTGTTAGTAAAACCTGATGTACTCTGACCTACAATATACGTGTAGGATGAAATTCAGTGTTACTGCTATTGTTATTTACTGCTTATTTTCCCAACTAAACACTGTCTGTGTGTTAGATGAGTGTAGGGAGAGCAATGTTCACAAAAACGTGCTTACATAGCCGAATCAAATGGCCACATTTCATTGCAATCTGATGTAATCCGTGTTGTGAAGTGATAAATACTAAATTATAATCTAACAATTAAAATTCTTAAAGAGTACTGGCAGAGATACATTTTTGGCACATCAGATGTGGCCACTAAAAGGAGCCCTTAGTGTTGAATTATATTATAACAGAGTGATTTATTTTTGTTAAAACAGTAACGTGTAGCAGCTAATTAAAACTGGGGAAGCACAGCATAATACCCCTGAAAAAAGGCTTTGGCTCTGTGTACACCTTTGGCTATTGTGTGTCATAACCATAGTAGATCTGGAAAAAAAAAATCATGATCCGAGTATAAACTGCTTAAAGGAATAGGTTGCAATTATCTTTATTTGCGTTCTTGTTGAGAGCTGAACAAGAAAATTGGTACCACTCAAATATCTTGACTATTTCTTAACCTGCACACCATAGTGACCAGAAATTGTAATTTTTTTGTACAAATTTAAGATATTTTACTTGTGATTTTTGCGTCGAATTTCACCGACCACTTCATTAGCTACACCCGTAAATTGGTCATTCATGCAAAGAGCTAATCAGCCCGTCACATGGCATGTAGACATGGTCAAGACAACATGCTCAAGTTCAAACTGAGCATCACAAAGCTGATTTAAGTGACTTTGAACATGGTATGGTTGTTGGATTCAGACGGACTGGTCATAGTATTTCAGTCTGAAAACGACTATAACATAAAAATATCAAGTGAGCAGCAATTCGAGCAGATAGCACTCAAATAAGCACTTGCTGCTAACAAGTTGTGCAGAAGAGCATCTTTAACATATTAGCAGCAGAAGACCACACTGGGCGGCACTCCTGTCAGCTAAGAACAGGAAACTGGATACACGGGCTCACCTTTGCCATTTGGATAGCAGGGAAGAATTAGGGATAAGGAACATGAAAGCATGGATCCATTCTACCTTTGGTGCTGGTGATGTAATGGGATGGTAGATATTTTCTTGGCACACTTTAGGCTCCTTAGTAGGAACTGAGCATTATTTAAACACCACACCCTACCTGAGTATTGCTCCTAAGCATGTCCATTGCTTCCAGCAGAATAACATGCTGGTTCGAATGATCTCAGACTGGTTTCTTTAACGTGACATTGAGTTTACTGTAGTCAAATCCACAGTCATCATATCTTAACAGAGGTCCAATAGAACACGTTTGGGGTGTGGTGCAACAAGAGACTCATATCATGGATGTAGAGCGAACAAATCTCCAGCAACTGTGTGATGCTGTCATGTCAACGTTGAATCTGTGCCATGAAGATCTAAGGCGGTTCTGAAGGCAAATGGGGTCCAACAACAACTAGCAGGGTGTAACTAAAGAAGTGGCTCGTTAAAGTATTTGCACAGAAAATGCAGAATCTGTAGGCAAGTGACGAGGCTTTCGGTACCAGAATCATTCTGGTTTTCTTCCAGTAGTCATCAATTCCCAAGAAAGAAAGCATATGCCAAAATGCAGTTTCGGAACCTTTGTCTTTTATCATTTAGTCAACCTTTAGGAAGCCGTCACCTAGATGTGCTGGAAGCGTCAAAATACTGTCAGTTTTCCCCAAAGGTTAAGTTAGCAGGCTAGTTTTTGGTTTTCCTGACTGGGAGAGTGTCACTATCCTCGGTTTTATATCAAATCAATCAAGAGTGGTGCCAATCACTTCATGTAACTCCTATTTGAAAATTAAAATAAGAACTCTTGTTTGACACTTCAGTCGATTTTGCATTCGTATCGGTCTCTGAATACGCACTATCATTCTGCTCCCGCTCACTTTATCTACTTATAGCCTAACTGTAGTATGGCATTAACCTGTAAATATTGTTAAGATGTGCTTCTTCCTTGTGATTTATTCCTCATGTTTACATTCGGAGAGTCAGTTGAATGTGCCCCAAAATGTGTCCTGGCTGGTACTACGGAAAGTTGGAATTTGTGGACATGCTTTTGTAAATGTAATAAGCTGTTTTATATTTTAAAAAAAAAATTAAGCACCTTCATGTAGTCTTATGTCTAAGCTCACCCCCTATGTATTTCTTCAATTTCCACGGTTAAACCGTTAGGGCCACGTCAGACGTAATTTAATAATGGTACACTTTGTGTTTTTCTTCATGTGTCCGATACCTGTTTTGTATTTTGGTTTGCTGCTTTTGTACAGAGTCCTGTTTGAGACTGCCCTTTAAATGATTTAAAAGTGTAGAGTTCTTGAACTTAATGTAACTGAACAATATTCTGGCTGTGATTACAGTGAACTCCAGGATTGGAAGTGAGCTAAAAATGAGACATTTGGAGCACTGTGAGGAGGTAATGGCCAACACTGTCAAAGTCAAATGAAACTTTATTGTCATTCGTGACCATACAGTGAATAAAACTCCTCGATTAATGTGCAGAAGAATCTAAAGACATAATAAGACATATAGACATATATGAAACATGCCAGTTAAGATTTAATCTGGTAGGCTGATTATTTAGTGCTGTTGCTCTCTTGTGGCAACTCGCTAAACTGCACTCCAACCCTTAGATCTACATTAATGTTCATAGTATGTGTCTCGTTATCATCGAAGAAGCATGTAAAAGCTCAAAATTGAGATTTTTCCCACTTCCCTGTTTTAAGAAGCACTAGCCCAAGAGACAACATTGAGATACCGTGGTTACAGGTTGTGTGTTTGCCTTACATATGGAGGGATTTGAATGTTTTTGCGATATGGATAGTGACAGTAGCTGACAGTAAAGGAGGAAGTATAGTAGTTTATACTACTGATTTATGCACTTTTGTTTTGTGTTTCCAGATACAAGGTGAAAATGGGTAGCAGACATGTATAAATTGAAGTAAATTCCAGCATTAAATTCCTTTTAGGCTTTTTTTTTAAGGGTTTTTTGTTCAGTGTTGGTCTGAGTTTGTGGTTAGTAAGTTGCACCTTAGTTTTGTTTCCCTGAATAACTTTACTTGCTTGTGGTGTGGCATGTGGCACACCGAGGATGACTCTGTGTTATGCATCAATCCGCTGGTGTTTCTGCATTCTGGTCAGTCTCTTTAATACTGTCCCACTGTTTAACAAGTATCCGTGACTCTTCCTTGAGGGCGCAATCAGTGCAGGCGGTTTCTGACTGGTTTGCTCACTTCCATTATCAAGAGAAATTACTCTTAGGTGTTTCCACTTTGCCTCTGTTGAAGGGACTTAATATGTGACTATTCTTTTTCATTGCATGAGAAAACATAAGGGAAGGACGGAGTTGCCAAATTCAATTACGAGAAAAACTTTTAGTGCACTTTATCCTTCAATCTAGTGGAGATACAGATATAGTAGCAGTTTCCTTGATCCTTCCTTTCCTTAAAATACTTCCTTGCCTTAAAATGGGAAATTATCAAAATGCAGTTATTGACTAAATGTGTCCTTGGCAATGTTCAGTCCTCTGAAGTGAAATTTAAAGACAAAAGGGACATCAAAAGTGTACCTGTGTGGAATCAGACCAAGAAACCGGCTGTAAATAAAGGCTTCCAAGCATGCATAGGATAGGAAATCAAAATTCATCATACTGCTCATATTTGAAATGATTTGATGATATTTAAAGCTCAAAATAGTGTATTTGTGCTAAGAATATATTTCTTTCATAACACTTGCACATTGTATCAAATATAGTATAAAGTGGAGGACACAGTAACCAGAGGAATTTGGGTATAAAACTCTAAATTGACTTGTTAATCCTCCTTTGTTTGTTTTTGTGAACTAGTCTTCCTTCAATCCAGCTGCAAAGATAAAGGCCAACTGTGACATCAGAACAAGACTTCAATGAGTTGTAAAGAGGAAATGTATCAGATATGGACATTTATTATCCCAGATATTACCTAAATTGTGAAAAATGAATTAAACAGGCTGTTTTATTATTATTTTTTAATGGTTTTACAGTGAAACGGCAGTAAAGCTACGATTGTTAGACATGAAAAGGGAAATGTTGCACAGTGTGCAGGAGTCCTGTATTCCAGGCAGGTTGACTCTATGTATTTTGATTAGCCAAATTCTAATTTACTAAGGCTAGCAGCCAAAGGCTTGTATTAGATTAGGCAAAGGTGGACCTGTCCTTGTCCTTAAATGAAGGTTTGTCAGTGATTAAGTGGGTGCCTAGACACCACGGTGACTGTGCATTCTGCAGTGCACCCAAGGTTGCCACATAGCAAACTGTGAGAGTGGCACTTCGGAGAGTGCTCATGGGATTACTAAGTTAGGTCTCTCTCTCTCTCTCTTTTTTCTTTTGAAAGCTGCTAATGATGAAGTGTGTATCCAAAAGAATTTTATTCTGTGGCCTTCACCTTCAAGAAAAGTGTTGGGAATATTGCTGTCTTATTTTAGAAACTGAAACTCATGGTGGATATTGGAGAGAAAGTATTATATTTCTTTTTGTTCTTGAGTAAAGAGTTGATTTTTTTTCTGTTAAATCTGTTAGTGTTTGGGTAAACACATGGAGCCCCAAAACTGACAAATCTAATGATACCAAAAAGTAGCATTGTTAGTGCAATACAAATGAGATTTTAAGAGGTTTCACTTGTTCGAAACCACTCAAATATAGACAAAAGTAATTGACCACACACAAGGTGTAATGTGTAGGTTGCCCAGTACTTCTGTCCCAACAGTCTATATTTGGTTGGGTTCTTAAATTTTTTGATTGAGATGAAGCTAATTACCTCCTGGTTTTCACTAATGCCGCACACATTTCCACTAATTGTGAACAAGAAATTGTGTCAAATTTGATTACATTTATAGACAAAGGATTCATCTATTGTGGAAAAAATGACAAGATCTAAAGCTTTTTATAAAACTTCAATTTACTTGGTTAAACTTTGAAAAGCTAACATAACAGTCTAAATGCTAGCACAAAAATAGTCTTTTGCGGTCTGTCGTGATGTCAAATGGCAAACTGTAGATTGACTATTACTAAGAAACTTTGTTTTTGAATACCTGTTGGCAAAAGAATAGATTGATTAACACTACTGTATGTAATGCTGGCTGGCATAGTTTCATGATAGCTGCCTAGCTAGCCAACAATCCTTGTGGGCACTGTTTTCAGCTAAGCTAGCCACAAAGCGCTCTAAGTTACTCCACAAGTATCACATGAATTTCAAATTAGTCACTGCCATTAACAAATACTCATCCATATTTATTATATATGCATTAGGAGAATTTAACACATGGTGAGGAAAATGAAACATCAATAGGTCAAAAAGCCTGAGTGAAGAAAAACGAATAGTAACTGCAATAGTAAAATGAGAAAACCACAGAATACCTGACTGAATTAAAGAACTTTGTGTTTGTTTTACTGAATGTTTTATATGTGTGTGTGTGTGTGTGTGTGTGTGTGTGTGTGTGTGTGTGTGTGTGATATTCCTCAATTCAAGTTAAAATGAATCTTTTGCTACCTTTTGGCAGTTCGAGGGCTCCATATGAACTAAAAGTGAGAAACAAGTGTAATTTTTGCATGAGAAAGTTTAGTTGTTGTTTTTTTTTTATATATGTTTTATGGTGGCTTTCCCCTGTTTTTGAGTGAAGCTACATGTGATGGTAACCATAAGCATCAATGCCATAGTCTATTCAAAGCTGTATTATTCACATTCGCATCACATTGCATTTCCCTTACTCATACTGCAGCGGTGTTAAAGAAACCATAATGTGTACTGTTATTTGCTGACTCTCTATAATGTTAACACTACAACTTAGTTAACTCTGGTGTACAAAGCCCATGTGTAGGCAGTAGTCGTCACGTTCAGCTATGATAAAATACTAAAAACAGTACAAGGACAGTAGTGTCTAGAGGTGCTAATAACATTAGACTGTATTTTCTGTCTTTTATTGTATTATTGACTAGTGTTTACTGTCTGTAACACAACAGAGCGTAATGAAATCATTTCAATATTAAACAGTATAGATATATTATTGCAAATTCAGATGTGTCTTTGTGTTTTGTTTTTTATATTACAGTAGTGCTTTTTTTTGGCAACTTTGCTGCCATCTGTTGGGAAATGCTTATATTTTCCACTCGGATTTAGACACTTTAATATTTTGATTTATTTCACACAGTGCAACAGGTGTCTTTAGGTTACTGACTCTGTAGTTTTAGTCTGAATCAGATTTAAACTTGTAGAAAGACATATATAAAATTATTATAGATCAAAAAGAAACAAAAAAACAAATCCACAGTATTAATTTGTTATAATTAGAAAATCTACAACAAAAAATCAAATGCGTAAAATAAAACGGAAGAGAACAATGAACACATTGAGCTGAATATTGATGTCTGTGGCCCTGAACCGTTCTTTGGACTCTGGTACAACAACTGTGAACTAAACAGGTTCATGTTCATAAACGGGGACTGGAGGGGGTTTTACATCTTGGTGAGACGCAAGGTATTCAGTCGCACCCCCAAAACTGAAGCCCCTGAGGCGTACTTGATTTCTTTCAGGATCCCATTCCACTTCTTCTCCATCTCATTATACCTGAGGAGGTTAAGAGACAGTCGTCATAGTTTTTCCCAGGGCTCCTATCTCCCTCATTTGCGTTTAAACTTAAGTAATTATATATCCACTATGAACTGAAGCAGGACGGTGGCATCTTATGTTGGGTTCACTGAGTAACATTTTAAATACTAACACAATTGAGTAAATACTAAATATAATTAAGATTACAGTTGTGCAAAGACAATTTAACAGTTGAAATAACTTTTTTAAAGAAGTCTGTTACGATCTACCTCCAGATGTCGTTCATCTCTTTAGGAAGAACCTCTTCGTTGTCCTCTATAGGCATCATGGCAAAACCTCCAACGGCGTAGAGGGAACCAGCCAACGACACGAGATTCAGGGAGCTACGTTCCTGAGGAAACGGCACAAAGTCTGACCACCTGCACCGCGTTAACACACACACAGAAAAATGTTCAGTTAGATAAACCATTTAGCCACAGTTTTATTACATTTATTATGATGTGTTGTAACTTTACACTGACTGTGTGCTTTACAACAGATAATTAGAAACAAACTAAACTAAAAAAATAAAGTAAAAGAAAAGAAATATAAATATAGGAAACTCACTTGTTAGTAGCGATATCATACACCTCCATAGTGTCTGTCAGGCCGTTGTCAGTGACGCCTCCTGCCACGTATATTTTGTTTTCATGAACGGTAGCTCCACATAAGGAGCGTGCGTGCTTCATGGGCGCGAGCTCCTTCCATTCAAAACGCTTGGCGTCGTAGGCACACATCTTCTTTAGACAGCTCCTTTTTACAAAAGGGACAAAGACTCACAATAGTGACCTCTGAGATAAAGAAAACCCTCCTTCTTTAAATCCTGAAGCCTTTTAGGGTCACACTTTTAATATGAACATTAATATTTTGCTTGAAGCATGTACTCACTTGTTGTCTCCCTTTCCTCCAATCACGTATACAGTGTCATTATGAGATAATGTTGTATGGCCGTAAACTGGGTATGGAATCGGCTCTGACTCGCCCCATTTAAAGGATCTGTGAATGACAAAACACATTATGTAGTTAATTATTAAGGATGACAAACTGAGTGCTTTTCCCCTAAAATTTCATACATGAACTCAAGGCTGTACTCACTGTCTGTCGTATACCAAGACTGAATCCAGCATGTGCTCCTGCTCCTTCAGCTCCTTTCCTCCCAAAACAAAGATGGAGTTCTCAGCCTCGCCCATTCCAAACAGAAAACGGGGAGAAGGCAGGGGAGGCATGCCGAGCCAGTCGGCACTGACCGGGTCGTACTGTGGTCACAGGAGTCAAACATTTGTAAATGTTTACAGTGTACAGAACTACAGTGTAGAAAAATATTTGCACTGAACTATATTTGTATGTGTACCGCATGTAATTGGAAGTTGTTCATCTTCTCCTTTCTTTCTACAAACTTTGTCTTGACGTTCTCCTACCTGCAGGAAGTATGAGCACAGTGGATCATCCTTGTTCTGTTCATCAAAGAATAATCCTCCGGCCACAAAGATCTGGTTCTCCTTGGTCACCAGGCTGGCGTGGTTTTTGGGAATCTGTGTGGAAAGTGATGCCAGAAAGCAGTCGTTCCCCGTTGGGTCGTAGGCCACAGCGCCAGCATCATTAACCATCAGGATCAAGTCTCTGACAAACATCCCAAATCGAAGATTATCATTCAGGATGCTTGGGAGAAGGCCCTCTTCATCATCTTTATCTTCACTCTCTCCATCATTCCCTGCTCCACCATCCTCCTCCTCCTTGCTTTTTCTTTTTTTAACTTCTGGCATTTTCCCAGCGTGGGCATCCTTAACCAGCTGGAGTTTCTGCTGCAACTCGGGGTTAGAGGAGATAAGTTTGTGTTTCTCCACTTTTTCTCTCAGATAGTCCTCATTGACAAGACGCAAACGAATGCAGTCCAACAAATTCGGCAGCTCTTTCTCTCTGGTCTCTTTGTTCCGGGACACCCAGTTCATCAAAGCTTCAAATACCTCCTCTTCTGTCTCTACGTTTAGATTGTCATTTGATAAAATGGCTGCCAGCTCACTGGGAAGCAGCTGGAGGAATTCTTCATCTCTGGAGATGAGCTGAAAGCGCTCGCAGGCATAGTTTCGAGCAGAGATGGCCAATCTGGGACAGTCCAGCATCAAGCCGAGCCTGAAGATAGCCAGACAGTTGCTGAGGCTTAGGCGCTTTTGTAAGAAAGACACACATACAGTGAAAATTGAAGGGATCTGGTACATATTAGCGACAGCAAAGATATCCTGGACATTCTGCTCGGTCACATTGATCTTGGAGGTGTACAGATACTTCACGATGAGCCCCATGACACCTGGCTCCACATCCTCCAGGATAATTTCCCTCTTTTTGCTCTCGTCCAGGTCAGAAAGAAAGATGGAGCGGAAGTATGAGCTGCAGGCACACAGAACGAGCCGGTGGCAGGGAAACTCTTTGTCTTTGATCTTCAGCACACAGTCGACCAGCTTATCATTCTCCAGCAGGTCATAGAGGCCATCCTGGAGTAGAGTCTGCTGGTACAATCTGGGCTCGTCCGCTGGGTTTATAGGCAGAGCCATCGTTCCTGGCAGAAGAAGTATGAAGAGCCTTTCAGGGGCTAAAGAAATCAAACAAAATGTATCTCCTCTATAACTAAGCTGTTCTAGTTTCTAGCCTGGAAAGAGGATTTAAAAGAGTATTCAGACACACCAGAGACAGCCCACTTCCTCAGCTGTCCTGACCCTTCAACTGAACTCCAACTGGAGGTTTATTTATAGACTGGGTGCTTGGTGTAGAGCAATGGGCTTTATTCTGGAACTTGAAATGTAATATCCATGCTTCCCCTTGTCCCACCTCGAAGTCCACACCGACCCACTCCCAGACAGCTGACACACTGCTTAATGGGAACTGTGTCCAGCATGAGTCATGGCAGACCCTGGAGTACATGGTTTAGTAGGCTTCTCTGAGGGGCTCATCTTAGCATTTTGTAGCATTACATACATGTGACGATGACTCTGTGGAAAACAGAGGAAACTCTCAAATGACTAATAGATTTATTTTAATACACAGAATGTTTAACATAGTGTTCTTGTTCATTTCAAAGAGACAGTTATAAATAAGGATTTGGCAATATATTTGTTCAGCTGCTCTTTTAGACCAGTCTTTTTGCTAAGCTAACAGTTCTCAGTTTATTGGTGATCTGATAGGCTGCCACTACCACTATGAAAATTATTGTTTTCTAAAGAGCTTAATTAGTTTAAGTGTTGTTAAGAAGCAATTTATTTTATTTGAACAGAACCAAAACACTTTCATTGAAAAAGAAAGGCATGTAATAACCCAGGTAAAATGGGCCATTTAAGGTTTGACTGTCTTAGCTAAAAGCTGTCTTTAAAAGTAAACAGTACTTAACATTTAGCATTTGATGTGATTCGTCTGAGATTGCAAGGATGATGGTTCATTTTGCCACAGAAAACTCCATGGTGAGTGACCTGACTTGTTAAAACTTACTCTTCAATAATAAGGTGAATAAGAACCAAATGAACATCTAGACATTTTGATTCATAATCCATGTTGTGCTGTCCTCTGCCAGAAAAATGCAGATAATTTTCTAAATTAAGCAAATTTGTATGAAAAAACAGTTTTAATTACCAGCCCAATTTACCCTCATGTATTAGATAAAATGGGTGATTCATTTCAGGTAAAGTGGGCCACCCTCTGAGATATTTTTAAAGTTCCCCATTTTAAAAATATTTTGATATATTTCTTATTCTATGTCTTACATTCCATTTTCACATTACACTACCTGAAAAAAGGATGAAAGAAACATGTTGATATAGAAGTGATAAATGTGACAGACATCAAAAGTGTTTTAAAAATACAACTAGTGGGTAGAGGAAAGGATGAGAGGGGCTTTGGCTGAGTACAGTGGGACATTTTCACTGATCAGCTGAACCATTTTACCCTGAACACTGCTCGTGTCAAAAAACATGGGACAGCTAATGTCTCAAAAGCTGTAGAGGCTCAAACACTCATGTTTTATTGCATCAGTTTAACACAAAAATATTAAAAACATTTCAGGTAATCATGAAAACACAGTTAAATGCCACACATATTTTTTTTCTTAGTGATTTGCCAAAATTACCTGGTAAATTTACCCTAACAAAAAAAGGAAACCTCCGCTGTTTGATGTTATTAAATCCATTTTATTGCCTTGTTCTGGTCAGAGCAGTGATTCACCACAGGTGTCTGTAGCACTCCCTCCCAACAGTATTCAAAGTGTTTTCCATGTGGAAGCAGCAAACAGGATTCAGTGACAAAGTGCTGATGTAATGCAACAGAAATGGCTCACGGTACTATGACAAGACTCAACACTGACTCATGTAGTGTAAAAAGCACAAGCAGTTTCATCGGAGAGAACAAAAACCTGCATAAACACACAAAGTACAAATGTTTTCACTAATCTTTACTTTTGCTCTAGACCAATCACAGTCCCGACAATGTAGTTTTATTGTTAGTCCTGGTTAGTATACAGGTGAACTTCACAATATGTTACAGTAAATATTCATTTACTGTAATTTCTTTTTCCATTAAGTTTTAAATTCTCCCTTAGGTAAAAATACTTAAAATTTTATTTACAACGAGCTTGTCTGCATCCATTCAAACTCATAATACTGTTAGCATTTGGACAGAACTCACAATTTTCATCATTGTAACCATTCGTTAAAAATTAAATATCTACTCTGCTTTTTCTTTGCTGGGATCTGCGACCGGCTGAGCAGCAGTGGGTGCAGTTGCAGAGGTGGTAGGACTGGTGGCAGCGTTTGGAGGCGGTGCTGGTGGGAGTGGATCGGGATCGTCTATGAGTGCCTGTCTCCTCTCTTGCTCCTTGATCACTTGAATCAGACAGTAGGTCACAAACATGACGATGATGGTGGTTATGGGGAAGCCTGGGAAGGTAATTCATTGTTAATAAGCTGGTAAGAAATGGCAAAGTTGCCTCATAATTAACAACCAAAATCACCTTTTAGAAGTAGCCGTTTGGCAACCAACTTTGCGAAGTCCAAACTGTTCAAGGCCAGAACGTTGTACAACACAATGCTCCAGAAGTTAAAAGTGTTGAAGATGGCTCTGATGCGCCGAGACATCGCTTCTGACATTGCCATCTGCAAATCATATTTATATACAACATGCACATTAAATCCCTTATCCTTTATAAACTGCTTATTGATGTGTACAAACAAACTCATCTAACCAACCTCAAAAGAGCTAAATGGCTCCACGGAGAAGAATTTGCCTGTCCACAGCTCAAAGTTGAGACCAAAACAGTTCAGGAAAGCCCAGACCAGGACCACCTGACAGGGTCCCAACCAGAGGATGGTGATGCCGAAGGTGCACAGTGTAGCCACAAGCTCCTCCACCACGTTCTCGTGCTTTCCACCCAGGTAATTATACACATACCTGTGGATTAGGGCTTCATCAGAACCTTTGCTTTTCAAATGATTAACATGACTTTAATATTGGTGGCCTTTTGGAGACACTCACTTGCACAGCCAATCGTTGATCCCTCTGTCAAAGTGACTACAAAACAAAATCAGCTTTAGTACTATAGAATTATACCACATGTACGCCTGGAACCACTCACATGTGTTCAAGCCTCACTCACGTTTCAGCAAACACATAGAGCATGGTGATGCATTTTGGTGGCTTAGGAGGGTCAAGGTGATCCAGTCTGGATACCGTGTTGATGACACCAAACATCACAGCTGCTTTCACCCAGTCATACACCAGGTTAAAGTAAGCCAGCCCCACTGGAAACAATGCAGTGACATCAGTTCTGCTGCAAGTTTCCTTTCATCTCAAATAATTGAAATTAAAACTGGAAATTTGTTTAATGTAAGTCAAAGCTTTTAATTATATGTTAATGTTCAGTCTTCATTTGTGCTTTTTTTGCATGCCGTTGGGTTTAAAAATATTAAAACGGGAATTTTCGTGAAGTGGCACAGACCTAGAGCCCAGTCAGACAGGTGCTTCATCAGCTTCAAGTCAGTGGGGATGGTGAGGATGTACATGAAGTGGAAGAGGATGTCCACTACAATGATGACGATAAGGTGGATCACACCGTGCAGGTTGATATTCCACATCTCCCGCTCTTTCCTGGTAAGGTCACACCTGTTGACCTGCAGAGGGCAGCAAACACACGTCACAACTATGGAGAAAGCCAGAAACTTTCAGCCTCTGCAGACAACAGGCCCTGTTATTTAGGGATATTTTAAACGTCAGATTTTTTTTACTGATGGCGACATAAATGCATGTAAACTTTACATTGTGTGTTCTAAATATCTTCATGAACAGTAAAGAAAAGTAAAAGAAACCATCAATTTTAGGTCACACGATCGTTATACTTAATAATTTTGTAACCTGTAAAGAATCAAATTCAACTTACTTGAACATAAAATTGATCAAAAGTCATGATAGGCCCGAAATAGAAGAAAGGGAGGTAGAAGTTGTACTTGAGCAGCTCCAAGATGTTGTAGTTGCCATCTTTTCTTTCACAGTTCTCCAGAGCAAAACTCATACAACGCATGATTGTAAACCCACATCCTCCATAGAAGAAAACAGGACGCAACTCAAAGTCCCCTTCCACAAAACCTGCCTGTTTAGAGAAGACATGGGGAATCGACCATGAGAAATGTATAGACAATACACTGAGGTGTTTGGGTGCCAGCAGCTTACCTGCCAGGAAATGAAGGGTTCACACTTGAATGTAGCCAGCGTACAAAGACCAGTGACGAAGCAAAGCCAGCGGATTTTCACTAAAGAGATGCTGTAGAGCAGGATACAGTGGGAGAGGATGAGGGTGACATAGGTCCAGCCCATGCTTGTCCACACAGCAAGCAGGCCGTACACCATATATACCAAGGACCGATACTGTGGGACAGAAAAATGGTGTCACCCTTGTAGTTTAAAAGTTTTCATACATTCATCATGGGCATGAATATCATCTTTAACGAGTGAATGATACATACAGGGTCACTTAAATCTTTGAAGGTTCTACAGTGGTTTTTAACTTGATGAACCCAAGAGATATAAACTTGCTCCAAAATCAACATCCTCTAGCTCAACTGAAATTTACAGCAGCCCACATGGACAAGCCAAATATCTCATGGAGAATAGTTTTTATGCTCAAATAAGAAAAAGATTGAGCAATCATAACACATATACAAGAGGTATGTTAGGTCGAGTAAAGTTGAGGCTTTCAAACCGAAGAACAATGTCCCAAGTGTCAAGCATGGTGGTGGCAGCATCATGCTCTGGGGCTGTTGTGGTGCCACTGGTACTGATACATTGCACAAAGTGGACGGAACAATGAAGACTGAGGACAACCTCCAAGTTTTGAACCTTCACCTCAACAACCAAACGGTTAAAACTTAGAAGCAACTGTGTTTTATAATGGCTAAAGCAGGCTGACATTAAGCTTCTGGACTGGCCTTCCCAAGGGGTTGACCTCAACCCTGCTGAAAATTTTTTAGACCACACTTAAAAGGCAGGTTCATGCAAGGAAATCAGATGATTTAAATGAACTCTTGTGCACCCAGTTCTTGTTTTTAAGGTCATTAAAGATGTATGGTGTTAGATCATACCACCCTGGGAAAAGAGCAGCTAAAAAAAACAAAACAACAAATAAAAGCTCAGCTGTGACAAAGAAAATTTTGAGGTTGCCAGATAATGGTGAGAAATAAACTT